GCGGATCAGAAGGAGCGCGAGAAGGCCGACCGCCTGCGCTTTGGGCGTTTCTTCTACCGCTTCCCAAACGGGGAGAGCGGTGCTGATGTGTACGACAGGATCACCAACTTCCAGGTGTGTGTGTGGGGTGGGGGAGGGGGCCGCGTGTGAGAGGAGGCGGGTGACAAGTGGGATGGGGTGCGGGAGGGGTGGTGCAATGTACCAGCTGTGTGCAGAGGCGGTTCAAGCAGGGAAAGAGTTGTGGGTGTCGAGGACAGGTGGGCGCACGGTCGTTGTGCAGCGCCGCAAGTCGGCTCCCCGAGCTGCGCCGGCGCGGGGGTTGGCAGCCCAGTGCACTCCTTCGACTCCCGCTCGCCCCTTGGTCCCTGGCCCTTGTGACCCCTGCTGATGTCCCCTCGATCACCCCGACCCCTCCCTGCAACGCCCCCCTCTTCCCCTGGCCGCGTCCCGCTCTCTGAACCACCCCCTGTGCATGTCTCCTGCCCCCCCCCCCCGCCCGCAATTGCCCCTCTTCCCCGTGTGTGCCGGGCCCTGTGCCCCGCAGGATCACCTCGTTCGCGACATCAATGCGGGCCGCTTCAAGAGGGACACCTCGCTGGTGCTGGTGACCCACGGCCTCGCCCTCAGGATATTCCTCATGAGATGGTACCACTGTGAGTATGCCCCTGGCGCGGGCAGCGGGGCCTGGCATCGCGGCGGGCCGCCGCGTTGCCTCTGCTGGCAGGGGGTGTGGGGAGCGCCTGGGGCTGCGCCGCGCAGTGGGGTGATGCCCGGAGGGGACTGGGACTCATCCGCCGGCGCAGGCGTGCGCCGCCTGTGTGTTTGTGTGTGTGCGCCTGTGTATGTTGGTGTGTGGTGGGGGCTTTGGAGTTTGGCGCCTGCACAGGGTCCTGGTCTTCAGCCGCACCAACCCGGCCACTCTCTTCGCACAACACACGGTGCGCATGCGCGTGCGCTGACACACGCACACGGGCACGCCCTTAACGCACACGCCCCGAACACGTGCGCGCCCCGCTGCGCCATCCCCCCACCCCATCCCAGGGACCGTCAGCGACTTCATGCGCGTCTACAACCCGGCCAACGCGATGCCCATCGTCCTGGAGCGAGTGGCCAGGGCGCCGCCGCAGCTGGGGGACCCCCGCAGCCCGGGCTGGGCGCACACAAAGGTGACTCGACGCGCCCGGCTTCCCCGGCTCCTGATCGTAGGGCTCTCCCAAGCTGGTCTGCGCTACACACGCCGAATGCCTTTCCTGCGAGCTCGCGCCATGCCACGGGTTCTCCTACTCTCTGTGCAATTGGGACCGTTTGCAGGGCCGCGAACGAGGCCACGTTCCAAACCCCACCCCCTACCTCGCGCGCGCCGCACCTTGTTTTGGCGCAGTGCCTGTACCGCCTGGCGCCTGAGAGCATGGCGCACCTCGAGGGTTGCACCCCAGACATGTGCTGGACCGGGTCCGACCCCCGCGGCGGCAGCAGCACCTGCAGCATGGCGGACGGCTGGCCCGAGCCCGCCGCGCTGGAGGCGTGGCACGAGGCCGCCGCGGCCGGCGGCGCGGCGGGCGCGGCGGAGGGCGCAGAGGCGGCGGCGCGCGCGACGGCGTCGGCGGCGGCGCAGTGGGCGCGGCTAGGGGGCGGCTGGGAGGGGGCGTTGTGGTGATGTGGCGGCGCCCACTGCTGCCCGTGAGGTTGCACGGCCCTGCGGCAGCAACACAGCACCCAGTCTGACAAGCTCTTAGGGGGCCGAGGCCAGATTGGCCGGAACATCCTTTGTACCAACATCAAAGGCAGCGTTGCGAGTCCATGCCATGCGAACAGCGCGCCACGTGCCGCTGCTTTTGGCGCTGAGAGAGAACCACCTCGCACCCTGCTTGGCGAGTGCTGGGCCCGCGCGCGGCACACCAACGTAGCCTGGACCCCGCACAGAATTCGTTCAGGCAGGTGACGCCGTTGGCTCATTCCTTCGTGATTGCAGGCGCAGCCCTGCGCCCAGCGCGCACACGAGTACGGCCCTCCCTTGCGTGCGCAGCAGCATGTGTAGCGACCCCGCCGGCCCTGCCATTGCAGCGCGCGCGCGGCTGATGTGGCGCGCCCGCTGCTGCAGGCAGGTCCGATGTCCCACCTCAGCTCTATCAATGCGGGGTCCCTGCCCTGGCGCCGTCACGCCGTTGCTGCGTGCCGCCCTCTCCCAAATAAGGGCCCTTTTGGCCGTTGAGCCGCCCTCCTCGCGGGGCCGCCTGCAGCTTGCGTCACGACTCATGCTGCTTGGCTTGCCTGGTGTGGAATCTGCGCGGCAGGGTTGTGGTGGCTCCAGCCGCGCACGCCAGGCCTAGGGAGACTTGCCCTGTTTTCTGTCCAGATGCAAGTGTTGACATGTGACAGGTTGCATTCAATATTTGTGCGTGTTGTGCAAGCGTGTGCTTTGTGCTGTTGGGTGTTGTGCACGCGTGAAGCGCCGCCTTCTGAGTCCAAATTGGAACCCAATCAGTTTTTGCAGTCTGGAAACCCCATCATATACTGCCAGTTGACGGTTGCTTCATTGCCCTGCGAGCGAGCTGCCTTGCAAGTAAGCAAATGGTGCGTGCGTGGTGCTGGCGAGCCTGCGCGGGTGAGAGCCCTGTGCCGCACCTGGGCTGTTCCGTTTGGCTATCTTGAGGCAGTAACCGTTTCGCAAGCGCGCGTGTGAGTACAATGCGCCGACCCCTGACCAGTCAAACACCAGGACCAGGGCATGACCAGCCGCTGCCGCGGGCTGTTGCGTGGGCAGTGATCAGGGATGCCCACGGGGGCGGCAAAGAAGGCGGTGTCCCCAGGCAAGGGGGGGGGGATCTGGCCAGTGCAGTGGACCGGCGGCCAAGTGCCACCAGGCCCACCCGCGGGGGGGTTGCGGGTTGCGGGCAGGGCGCACTCTTACGCCCAAGCCACGTCTGCACAAGCCCCTGCGTGCCCGCCCGCTCGTCTTCATCACCCAGGCGGGCACGTTCCTGCAGCATTCATGCCCGCATTGCCCTGGTCGCTCCACGGTCTGACGCACCCCGAACAGTGGTCTACGCTACTGACAGATGATCAGGACAGCCGCCGCTGAGTATCCCTGCAAAGGAGGAAGAGAAATTGACCAAGCCTGCCTTTTGAACAGCTCCCACAAAACCATGCGCGCCGCAGAGCAGTAGCGCATGGACTCCTGCCCGTGGGCGCGTTCATCAGACCTCCCTGGTTTTTTTGGGGGCACAAGCTGCAGGCAGCCTGGCCCCAGCTAGGGGTCGCGCCACCTGGACCGCCGCAGGCTTCAAGGTGCCTTGAGCACGAGAGCAGGTGTTGTCGGGCGCAGCCTGTGCCTTCACCTCAAACGCCCGTGCTAGTGGTACGCGCAGCCTGTGCGGTGGGTGCAGCCATGTGCGACAGCCGCTTGCTTGCAGGCCAAGCCCCGGCTCACCTTTGCGGTTGGTGACGCACCTCGCCGCTCACGCCCTTACCTGCTGCCTGCAGCATGCACGCAAACAACCGCCGGCGGCGTGCGGCCGAGCTTTTGAGGTCAGGCTCTTGTAAAGCCTGTGCGCTGTGTTGGGATTGCATGCCGTATCTCGTGGCGGCTGCGTCGACGGTAGAGGGATTCCCAGTATTGAGTTTGTGCAACGCTGCATTCTTGTGGACCTTCCTGGCACAACTTTGCCCTTCTAAGCCGCCGCCGGCGTTTTGGTTCAGAGCCGCTTGGTGTCAGCCGCTCTAATGGCTTGCTCCCTGCATCTGCCTTGCTCGCTGTAGCAGAGTTATTGCTTTGCCAGCACGACTGCAGCGGGGGATAAAATGGGGGAGAGGCTGATCCCAGCAACACTGCCTGCGGTATCCACCTAATGTCAACCCGCTGAGCCCTGAACGCGCTCTGAAACACGGGCCCCGTCTTTTTCGCCCTTGCCTGGCTTGCAGCTTACTAAGCTCATAGTATGAACGTGCATGAAAGCCCTTGGTGCAAGGTGCATCAGGTGTTCATTGACCTGGGGATTGGCCCGGGGCGGTGCCGGGCGGCAAAAAGCAAGATCAGTTGTGGCAAAGCCTCCTGTTGCTCGTTTCCCTGTTTAAGCGTGGGAGTTCTTGAGACTTTTGCGGAGGTGGGCTGGTCGGTAGGCACTGACCTGTTTTCTGGCGTCCCTAGCTTTGGCGTGGCGTGGCGTGGCGTGGCGTGGCGTGCCGTGTCTCTCCCATGGGCTGGGCGCAAGCAGCTGTGATACAGCTGCGCAGCTCAGCGAATAGGAGGATATGTCTTTGTGGGATCACCAGGCACCGCCGATGGGGACCATCCTGACACCTGCGGGGAAAGTCAACGTGAGAGTCAAAGGTGCATGCCCGCCCGGCAGCAGTGGTGGTGAGTCGCGCGTGCTGGTGCAGTCGGGCTGGTGCCTGGGTGGTTTGAGGCCCAGTTAATGTGTCCTTTTTGCAATCCCGCTTGGCTCAGCTGTGCGTGCGGTCGGCTTGGATCCCATTCACGCAGTACAGCAGACCAGCAGACCTGCAGCAGACGGAGACCGCAATGAGAGGCACTGGGTCACTTTTCACGTTGCTGCACACGTTGTTGCACGATGTTGCTGCAGGCACCGAGCTTATTTCATACTTCATCTCGCAGCTCGGGTCGGGCTCTGTTACCAGACAGCGAGCCAGCGTTTCTCAGTTCCGGGGGCGCGGCGGCCGAGCGGCGCATGTCGGGGCCGCGGCTGGGGGCGGAGGCCTCTGTCCCGCCTAGCACGGCG